TTAATGTCATTATTTTTATTCAAACTTCAAAATATATATATTTTATAATGAACACAGTTTTAAAGAGTGATCACAATGGGAAATAGGATAAATGAGAAAGATGGAGTATTCTTCCCACCTTACAGTGAAGCACCCAGAAGGAAAGGGGGGTATACCATTCCAGTTTGTGAGCTTGTGGAAGTACAGAATCTTTCTGAAATTCGTACAGCAGCTTCTCTTTCAACAATCAAATTGTGTCTCCCATGAACTGAAAACTAGATTGGTTTTTCTCAATCCAATATCTATCTACCTTAAAATTAAGGCCAAGACCCCCCCAAATTTTACAGCTCTCACTGCAATTTTTGGTAGTGTTATGAGTTTCCATCTTTTTTCTGAATAATTAGTATTTTAGTGAGAAGTTGAAATATACTTTAGTAGACACTATTGACCAGATACCATTTTGTGCTGGAAATTCTTTTGTGTGTGTGTGTGTTGCCAAGAAGTTATATCCTTTTTCTTTTATCACAATACATGCCCTGCAATTTTTTAAATTTCATTTTATTGTGGTAAAAACACAACATGAGATCTACTCTATTAATAATTTTTTTAAGGTACATTATTATTACCCATGGGTACGATGTTGTACAGCAAATCTCTTGTACTTGAAATTCTTGATAAATTAGTCATGCTATTGTTACTAATAAACTAAAGAAGCAAAAGATGCTGTCTCTTCTGATCTTTTGGGTCTTGTGAAAGTTTTTTGACCAATCAGTAAGAGCAGAACATTCAGTTAAATCCAATAAGCATTTTTTATCCAATCCCACATGTTATTTGCACATTGAAGAAAGAAAACATGCAAATAACTAATTATAGTAAATGGATAATAGTAAATCATTTTGACTGGGAAATCAAAACAATACAATAAGAAATGCCATGGAGTAGGTGACATTTGAGTTAAACCTTAAAGAAAAAACTTTAATAAATATATAGTAAGGTAAGAACTGTTCTAGGCTGAAGAACTCACGTAAGCAAAGACATTATATGATGTAACAATTACATATTATGTGTGTTAAATAGAGAATAATTTGAAGTGTATGCATGTAAATCACATTGACCACTTTTCCCTTCAAAAAACGCTAAGCTCAGCTTCCCCTGTGAATTCTACCAAACATTCAAGGAAGACTTAATACCTATCCTTTTCAAACTCTTTCAAAAAATCGAATAGGAGAGGAAGCTTCTTAATTCATTCTACAAGGCCAACACTACCCTGATCCCAAAACCAGACAACACACAAAAAAGAACATTACAGGCCAATATCACTGATGAACATAGATGCAAAAGTCCTCAACAAAATACTACCAAATCGAATATGACAACACATTAAGAAGATCATACACCACGATCAAGTAGGTTTTATTCCAGGGATGGCTCAACATCTGCAAATCAATCAGCGTGATACACCAGATTAACAAAATGAAGAATAAAAATCACATGATCACCTCAATAGATGCAGAGAAAGCATTTGACAAGATACAACTTCCATTATGGTAAAATTCTAAATAAAATGGGTACAAAAGGAAAGTACCTCAACGTAATAAAGCCCATATATAACAAACCCAGAGCTAATATCATACTCAATGGTAAAAAACTAAAAGCTATCCCTTTAAGATCAGGAACCAGACAAGGATGCTCATCTTCACCACTCTTATTTAACGTAGCACTGGAAGTCCTATCCAGAGCAATCAAGCAAGAAAAAGAAATAAAAGGGATCCAAATTGGAAAGGAAGAAGTGAAACTGTCACTATTTGCAGATGACATGATTTTATATATAGCAAACCCTGAAGAGTCCACCAAAAAACTATTATAAGTAACAAATGAATACAATAAAGTTGCAGGATACCATATCAACATAAAATACTTAGTTGCATTTCTATACAATAAAAACAAAACAACAGAAGGAGAAATTGAGTAGAATCCCATTTACAATCACAACAAAAAGAATAAAATACCTAGGAATAAATTTAACCAAAGAAGTGAAAGACCTGTAAGCTGAAAACTATGAAACGTTGAAAGAAATCAAGAAGACACAAAGAAATAGAAAGATGTTCTATGCTCACAGATTGGAAGAATTAACTTGGTTACAACATCCATATTTCCTAAAGCAATCTACAGATTCAGTACCATCCCTTTCAAAGTCCCAACAACATTTTTTACAGAAATAGAACAAAGATTCCTGAAATTTATATGGAACAGCAAAAGACCCCAAATAGCCAAAGGAATTCTGAGAAAAAAGAACAAAGCTGGAGATATCACAGTACTTGACTTCAAAATATACTACAAAGCTATAGTGATCACAAGAGCATGGTACTGGCACAAATACAGACACACAGATCAATGGAACAGAATCAAGAGCCCAGAAATAAACCCACACATCTATGGACAACTAATTTCCAACAAGGAAGCCAAGATCCCACAACAGAGAAAGGAAAGTCTCTTCAATAAATAGTGTTGGGAAAACTGGACAGCCATATGCAAAAGAATGAAAGTAGACCATTATCTCACACCATACACAAAAATAAACTCAAATGGATCAAAGACTTTAATGTAAGACCTGAAACCATACGGCTGCTAGAAGAAAACTTAGGCAATATGCTCTTCGATATCAGTCTTAGCAGTATCTTTTCGAATACCATGTCTCACCAGGCAAGGGAAACAATAGAAAAAATAAACAAAAGGGACTACATCAAATTGAAAAGCTTCTGCACAGCTAAAGGAACCATCCACAAAATGAAAGGACAACCTAACATCTTGCGAGAAGGTATTTGAAGGGGTTAATATCCAAAGTATATAAAGAATTCGTACATCCCAACAATCAAGAAACAAACAACCCAATTAAAAATGGGCAAAAGATCTGAACAGACATTTTTCCAAAGAAGGTATACAGATGGCCACAGGCACAAGACAAGATGTTCAACATCAGTAGTCATTAGGGAAATGAAAATCGAAACCACAATGAGATATCACCACACACCCGTCAGAATGGCTATAATTAATAAGAAAGAAATAACAAGTGTTGGAGAGGATGTGGAGAAAATGGAACTCTCATACACTATTGGTGGGAATGTAAACTGGTGTAGACACTATGGAAAACAGTATGGAGATTCCTCAAAAAATTAAGAATAGAACTACCATATGGTCTAACTATTCCACTCCTGGGTGTTTATCCAAAGAAAAAACACAAATGCATAAAGATACATCCACCCCTATGTTCACTGCAGCATTATTCACAATAGCCAAGACTTGGAAACAATCTAAGTGCCCATCAATGGATAAATGGATAAAGAAGATGTGCTATATATACACAATGTAATACTATTCAGCTATAAAAAAAAGATGAAATCTTGCCATTTGCAACAACATGGACGGCCCTCACGGTATTATGCTAAGTGAAATAAGTCACATGGAGAAAGTCAAACAAGGTATGATTTCACTCATAAGTGGAAGATAACAATAACAAAAAACAAACTCATAGATACAGAGATTAGATTGGTGGTTACTAGACCGGAAGGGGAGAGTGGGGAGGAAGAAAGGGGTGATAGGGCACATGTGTATGGCGATGGTTGGTAATTAGTCTTTAGGTGGTGACCATGATGCAGTCTACACAAAAATCAGAATGTAATGATGTATACCCGAAATTTATATAATTTTATAAGTGAAGGTTACCTCAATAAGAAAAAAGCCCCGCTAAGCTCATTCCAGCCTCACGGCCTTTGCACTTGCTTTGCCCTCTGCCTGGGATGCTTATCTTGATATCATCAAGTAGATAACTATGCCTCATACTTTGGCTACACTTTCACCTCCTCACAGTGATCTACCCTGACTGTAATATTTAAATTTGCCTTCTCTGCCCATCCTACCTTCCATCATCTTATGTTCTTCTTCCACAAGATTTTTTTAAATTCTGAAATATAGTCAATACATGCACTGAGGCATTTGGTCTTTATTCTGTAGGTAGTGGGGTGCCAATGGTGTCTTTACAAGATGGGCAATGACATGGTCTCACTTCATTTTAGGAATTTATTTCTAACTCAGAGGTGGGAGTTTATTTCATGGGTCTAGATAAGGGCTTCTAAATGCTGTGCACTGCAGCTCAGTGCGCGAGGGAAGAGGAGAGTTACTGCCAGTTCACTAGAAATAGGTCACAGTGCACATCTTTCTACACAACAGTCTCAATGAGTAGCTTATACTGATGTGTTTATGCATGAATGTGAATTTTTACATCTAGACATGACACATCTGTGCGAATATTGTGAATCATTAGAAATATGCCATTTTTTATAATTCCCTTTTTATATTCTCCTTTCACTGTTCTCTGCTTAAGCTATATTAGGATTAATCAATCAACTATTGGTTACAAGGTTTCCTCAGTCATGTTGTTTTACAAGGAGGCAAACATCAAAAAAACTGAAAATATTATTCAGCCTACTACAATGACTTGGGTCCTGACGTCCTGCTTTGACAACCATCACACAGAATAAGCAAAGCAATTATGTGGGCCACAGCCAGGAGAAGTATTACACCAGCTTTTCTGTGCCCCCCATGTTTTTTTTTTAATTAATTGATATCGACCCTGATATCAGTTTCCCCACATTAAACCCAGAATATATGGGGTTAAAACCAAAACACCCATTCCCTGCTTACTCTCTGGCTTCCTGGCTCCAGAATCCACTATCCTCCACGGAGACAGACACCATCAAGGACAAGCACCTGGACTATCTCCTCCCCACAAAGAGATACAGACTGGTGGGAAAGCTTCTGACCAGCAAGGTCATGAGCTCCCTCCTCTCTGCAAGTGTCTCAAGGCCAAAGACAGACTGGTGGGAAAGTTCCGACCAGCAAAGCCATATGCTCCCCCTCCCCTACCTAAAACCCCAAATAAAAACACTTCCTTTTAGCTTTTTCGGGGAGTTTGGGATTTCAGCGTTAGCTGCCCTCTCTCCTTGCTCAGCGCTGTGCAAAAATAAAGTTCCTACTTTCTTCCACCACCCCTGGTGTCAGAGATTGGCTTGCTGTGCAACGGGTGAGTGAACTCACTTCAGGTTCGGTAACATAATGAGCTTTGTTTTTTAGAACCGTTTTAGGTTTACAGAAAAATTGAGCAGACAAGTGCAGAGATTTCCCACATCCTGTCTCTCCTCTCCCATCCCCCACCCCGTTTCCTCTATTATTAACATCCTGCATTGATGTGGTATAGTTGTTACAGTTAATGAAACAATGTTGCCTCTGTGCTCCACTCTCCATCCCTCCTGGCCCCAAACCCTGGCAATCACTTATCTTTTTACTATCTCTATAGTTTTGTTTTTTCTGGAGTGCCATATATTTGGGATCAGTATATAGCCTTTTCAGATAGACTTTTTTCAGTTAGCAATATGCATCCAAGATTCTTCCATGTCTTTCCCTGAGTTCATTTCTTTTTATCGAATTCTGTGGATGTACGTCAGTTTATTTATCCTTTCACTTACTGAAGGACATCTTGATTGCTTCCAATTTGGGGGTGATTATAAATAAATCTCTTTTAAATATTCATGTGCAGGTTTTTACGTAGACTTAGGTTTTCAACTCAATTGCCTAAATACCTTGAAGCACCATTGCTGTATCTAAGATAAGATAAGACTATGTTTACCTTTTTAAGAGACTGTCAAAGTGTCTTTCAAAGGGGCTGTACCATTTTGTAGCCCCATGAGCAATAATTTAAAGTTCCTTTTGCTCTGCATCCTCATCAGCATTTGACGTCATCAGTGTTTTGGATTTTAGTCATTCTAATAGGTGTTAGTGGTGTCTTATTATTTTAGTTTGCAACTCCCTAAGGATATATGATGTTGAGTATCTTTTCATATGTTTATTTTCCTTATGTATATCTTCTTTGGAGAGATGTCTGTCCAACTATCTTGTCTGTTTTTATATTGGATTGTGTAATTATTATTGATTTTTAAGTGTTCCTTGTATATTTTTTACGTGAAGTCTTTATCAGATATGTGCTATGCTAATATTTTCTGTCAGTCTATGTTATTTTCTTCGTTCCCTTAGTAGTACCTTTAACAGAGCAGAAATTTTAATTTTAATGAAGTACAACTTGTCAGTTTTTTTCCTGCATGGATCATCATGTTTTTGGTGTGGTATCTAAAAACTCATTGCAAGTCCAAGAGAACCTAGATTTTCTCCAATGCTATCTTCTAGAAGGTTTATAGTTTTGCCTTTTAGGTCTATGATTCATTTTGAATTAATTTTTGTAAGGTTGAAAAAACATATATATTTTTGCATGTTGATGTCCAGTTGTTTCAGTACCATTTGTTGGAAAAACTATCCTTTCTCCATTGAACTGCCTTTGCTCCTTTATCAAAGATCAGTTGATTGAATTTGTGTGGGTCTATTTCAGGGCTCTCTATTCTGTTCTATTAACCTATTTATGTATTCTTTCACCCAAAACATACTGTCTTTTGTTTTTTTAAAGTTGTCACCCGAGCTTACATCTGTTACCAATCTTCTTTTTTCCCCCCTTCTTCTTCTTCTCCCCAAAGCTGCCCCAAGATATAGTTGTATATTCTAGTTGTGAGTGCCTCTGGTTGTGCTATGTGGGATGCTGGCTCAGCATGGCTTGACGAGCAATGCCACGTCCACACCCAGGATCCAAATTGGCAAAATCCTGGGCCACTGAAGTGGAGCATGTGAGCTTAACAACTCAGCCATGGGGCTGTCCCAAACCACTGTCTTGATTGCTGGAGCTTTATAGTAAATCTTGAAGCTTTATAGTAAATCTGACTTATTCCCCTTCAGTGTTGTGTTGGCTTCTAGGTCTTTTGCTTTTCTATATAATTTTTAGAGTCAGTTTGTCAATATCCACTAAATAACTTGCTTGGATTTTGATTAAGATTGCATTGACTATTTAGATCAGTTTGGGAAAAACTGACATCTTAAAAACCTTGTCTTTCTATCCACGGACATGGAATATTTCTCCATTAATTTACATCTTTGATTTCTTTCATCAGCATTTTGTAGTTTTTCCTGTATAGATTTTGTACATACTCTGTTAGACTTATACCAATGTACTTCATTTTTTTGGGTACTAATGTAAATGATGTTGTGTTTTTAATTTTAAATTCCAATTTTTCATTGCTGGTTTTATAGGAAAAGTTGCATTTGGTGTATTAACCTTGTATCCTGCAAACTGGCTATAATTATTATTAGTTTGGGGGTTTTTGTTGATTCTTTCAGATATTCTACATAGACTATCATTAGTTTTTGGTGAGGAAGGTTGTCATTGAACTAATATCTATGCCAATCTTCCTCTGTTTTGTATGTGGGACACCGCCACAGCATGGCTTGATGAGCAGTGTGTAGGTCTGCTCCCAGGATCCAATCCATAGATGATCATTTTATCTGCAAAAAAGGGCAGTTTTATTCCTTGATTTGTAATCTGTATACCTTTTATTTTCTTGTCTCATCTGACTGTCTTAGTTAGGACTCCTAGTGTAATGTATGGTAGAGTGGTGAGACTGTCTATCCTTGACTTGTTCCCCATCTTAAGATCTAGCTTCTCACCGTTAAGTATAATGTTAGCTATGTTTTTTGGAGATCTTATTTATCAAATTGAGCAAATTCTTTTCTATTTCTTGTTTGCTGAGAGTTTTATCTTGAATGGCAATTGGATTTTGTCAAATACTTTTTCTTCACCTCTTGATATCATCATACAATTGTTTGTCTTTAGCCTGTTGATGTGATGGTTTACATTAATTGATCTTCAAATGTTGAACCAGCCTTGCATGTCTGGAATAAATCCAACTTGATCACGATGTAAATTCTTTTTATACACTGTTGAATTTGGTTTGCTAATTTTTTGTTGAGGATTTTTACATCTATGTTAGTGAGAGAGATTGGTCTGTAATTTTCCTTTCTTATAACATCTTTGTCTGATTTTGGTGTTGAGGTAATCCTGGCCTCATAGAATGAGTTAGGAAGTATCCTCTCTGCTTCAATTTTCTGAAAGAGATTGTAGACAATTGGTATCATTTCTTATTTAAATGTTTGTTAGAATTCACAGTGAAAGCAGCTGGTTCTGGGCTTTCTGTTTTGGCAGATTATTAATTATTGATTCAATATCTTTAATAGATACAGGTTTGTATAGATTATTTATTCCTCCTTTTGTCAGTATTGCTGGATTATGTCTTTTAAAGAGTTGGTCTATTTTGCCTGTTATTGAGTTTGTGGGCGTAGGGTTGTTCATAGTGTTCCTTTATTATCCTTTCAATGTCCCTAGGATTGCTAGTGATAGCCCTTCTTTCATTTCTGATGTTAGTAATTTGTGTCTTCCTTCTTTGATTTTGGCTGGTCTGGCTAGAGTTTATCAATTCTATAGATTTTTATGAAGAACCAACTTTTGTTTTCATTGATTTTCTCCTTGGTTTTCCTGTTCTCAAATTCCATTGATTTCTGTTCTGATTTTTATTGTTTCTTTGCTTCTGCTCACTTTGGATTTAATTCACTCTTATTTTTCCAGTTTCCTAAGCTGGAATCTAGATTATTGAATTTCTTCATTTCTAATACGTGTATACATTCAGTGCTACAAACTTCCCTTTAAGCACAGCATCTCACAAATTTTGATAAGTTTTTGCTGCATCTCACAAATTTTGATAGGTTGTATTTTCATTTTCATTTAGTTCAAAATATCTTTATATTTATTTCGAGACTTCTTCTTTGACCCACATGTTATTTAGAAATGTGTTCTCTAATCTCCAAACATTTTGGAATTTTCCAGCTTTTTTCTGTTGATTTTTAGTTTAACTCCATTGTGGTCTGAGAATATGCATTACATGATTTCTATTCTTTTAAATTTGTTAAGGTGTGCTTTTTGGGCCAGAATATGGTCTGTCTTGGTGACTGTTCCAAGCGAACTTGAGAAGAATGTATATTCTGCTGTTGTTTCATAAAGTACTCTGTGAATGTCAATGAGATCTAGTTGGTTTATGGTGCTGTTCAGTTCAACTGTATTCTTTCTTTTAATTCTTTTTTTTTATTCTTTTCTTTTGAGACTGGAAATTTATTTTATTTTTTTAAATTTTTTATTTTTTTAATTGCAATAACATTGGATTATAACCTGATATAGCTTTCAGATGTACATCGTAATATATTTCGAATTTTGTGTAGATTACATCATGTTCACCACCCAGAAACTAATTATAGTCCATCCCCTCACATGTGAGCCTAATCACCCCCTTTGCCCTCTCGTCCGCCTTCCCCTATGGTAACCACCAATCCAATCTCCATTGCTATGTGTTTGTTTGTTGTTGTTTTTATCTTCTACTTATGAGTGAGAGCATATGGTATTTGACTTTCTCCCTCTGACTTATTTCACTCGGCATAATACCCTCAAGGACCATCCATGTTGTCAGAAATGGCCAGATTTCATCATTTCTTATGGCTGAGTAGTATTCCAGTGTGTATAAATGCCACATCTTCTTTATGCATCCGTCCCTTGATGGCCACATACGTTGCTTCCAAGTCTTGGCTATTGTGTACAATGCTGCAATGAACATAGGGGTGCAAGTATCTTTATGCCTTTGCATTTTCAAGTTCTTTGGATAAATACCCAGCAGGGGGATAGCTGGATCATATGGTAGATCTATTCTTAATTTTCTGAGGAATCTCCATACTGCTTTCCATAGTGCTGCACCAGTTTGCACTCCCACCAGCAGTGTACAAGGATTTCCTTCTCTACACATCCTCTCCAACACTTGTTGTTTCCTGTCTTGTTAATTATAGCCATTCTGACTGGAGTGAGGTGATACCTCATTGTAGTTTCGATTTGCATTTCCCTGATAGCTAATGATGTTGAGCATCTTTTCATATGCTTGTTCGCCATCTGTATATCTTCTTTGGAGAAATCTCTGTTCAGATCTTTTGCCCATTTTTTAAATGCATTGTTGGTTTTCTTGTTGTTGAAATGTATGAGTTCTTTGTGTATTTTGTATATTAACCCCTTATCTGATATATGGTTTGCAAATATCTTCTCCCAGCTGTTAGGTTATCCTTTCGTTTTGTTGATGATTTCCTTTGTTGTGCAGAAGCTTTTTAGTTTGATGTAGTCCCATATATTCAGTTTTTATTTTGTTTCCCTTGCCTGGTCAGACATGATACTTGAAAATATGCTGCTAAGACTGAAGTCAAAGAGCGTACTGCCTATGTTTTCTTCTAGAAGTTTCATGTTTTCAGGTCTTACATTCAAATCTTTAATCCATTTTGAGTTGATTTTTGTGCATGGTGTAAGGCAATGGTCTACTTTCCTTCTTTTGCATGTGGCTGTCCTGTTCTCCCAACACCATTTATTGAAGAGACTCTCCTTTCTCCATCGTATGCTCTTGGCTCCCTTGTTGAATGTTAGCTGTCCATAAGTGTGTGGGTTTATTTCTGGCCTCTTGATTCTGTTCCATTGATCTGTGTGTCTGTTTTTATGCCAGTACCATGCTGTTTTGGTTATTATGGCTTTGTAGTATATTTTGAAATCAGAGAGTGTGATACCTCCAGCTTTGTTCTTTTTTTCTTGGGAATCTTTTGGCTATTCATGGTCTTTTGTTGTTCCATATAAATTTTAGGATTCTTTGTTCTATTTCCATAAAAAATGTTGTTGGGACTTTGATAGGGATTGTGTTGAATCTATAGATTGCTTTAGGAAGTATGGACATTTTAACGATGTTAACTCTTCCAATCCAAGAGCATGGAATATCTTTCCATTTCTTTGTTCCTTCTTTGATTTCTTTCAAGAATGTTTCATAGTTTTCAGTGGACACATCTTTCACCTCTTTGCTTAAGTTTATTCCCAGGTATTTTATTCTTTTTGTTGCAATTATAAATGGGATTGTATTCTTAATTTCTCTTACTTATTTTCTACCTGGTGGAGCTGTCAGTTACTGATAGAGAGCTGTTTAAATCTTCGTGTATAGTGGATTTATCTATTTCTCCTTGCAGTTTTATCAGTTTTGCCTCATGTATTTTGACATTCCTTTGTCAGGCACCTACACCTTAAGGATTGTTGTGTCTTCTTGGAGATTTGATGTCTTTATCATTATGTAATGTCCCCTTTTATCTCCGATAGTTTTCCTTACTTGGAAGTCCACTTTGTCTGAAATTAATATAGCTACTCCATATTTCTTTTGATTGGTGTTAACATAGTATAGCTTTCTCTCCATTCCTTCTTTTTTGGTGAGGAAGATTAGACCTGAGCTAACATCCACCACCAATCCTCCTCATTTTGCTGAGGAAGATTGGCCCTGAGCTAACATCTGTGCCAATCTTCCTCTATTTTCTATTTGGGACACCTGCCACAGCATAGCTTGATGTGTGGTGCATATGTCCACGTCTGGGATCTGGGCTAGCAAACCCCAGGCCGCCAAAGCAGAGCACATGAACTTAACCACTACACCACTGGGCTGGCCCCTCCATTCTTTTCCTTTTAATCTGTCTATGTCTTTATATTTAAAGTGGGTTTCCTGAAGACAACACATAGTTGGGTCTTGTTGTTTTTAATCTCCTCTGACAGTGTCTGTCTTTTAATTAATATATTTAGACCATTCGCATCTAACGTGATTATTGATATACTTGGCCTAATAGCTAGCATATTTGTGAGTGTTTTCTGTTCCTTGCCCTTGTTCTTTGCTTTTTCTGTTTTTTTCTTCCGTTCTTTTTCTGCCTTCTCTGGTTTTAATTGAGCATTTTGTATAATTTCATTGTCCCTCTTCACTTTGCATATCAATTATACCTCTTTTTAACACTAATTATAGTGCTTGACCTAAGACTCACTCCACTATGTTTTTGCTTCAATGGTTTCTGAAGAAATGTCCAATATAATTCTTAGACTTGTTTCTCTCTAGGTAAGATGTTTGTTTTCACTCTGAATTCTTTCAAGACTTTCTCAGTCTTTTTTTTTTGTGAAGCTTGAATATGATATGTCTAGGAGATTTTTTGGTATTTATTCTATTTAATGTTCCCTGTACTTCTTGAATCTCATTTGATGTGTGTTATTAATTTTAGAAAATTCTCAGATATTATTGTTTCAATTTTTTGTTGTTGTCCCTTTCTTTCCAATATTCCCATTAAGTATCTGTTACATCTTTTGTAATTCTCTCACAGTTCTTAGAAATTTTCTTATGTTTTTAATCATTTTTCTCTTTGTTTTTCAGTTTGGAAAGTTTCTATTGATATATACTCAAGCTTACTGATTCTTTCCTCAATTGTGTATCACCTACTGATAGGCCGTTGAAAGTATTTTTAATTTCTGTTATATTAAATTTTATTTTAGCAGTTCCTTTGGATTCTTACAGTTTTTATCTATCTATTCATTTTACTCTTTTTTCCTGCATGCTGTCCATTTTTTCTACTAGGGTCCTTAGCAGATCAACTATAGTTATTTAAAATTCCCAGTCTGATAATCCCAAGACATGTGCTGTATCTCAGTCTTGTTATGATGCTTGCTTTATCTCTTCAGACACACCTCGTAGCATTATCATGTCTTGTAAATTTTGTTGAAATCCAGGCATGGCATAGATAGTAAAAGGAACTGAGGTAAACAGGCCTTTAGTGTGATGTTTTATCTTTACCTGGCTAGGAGTTGAGTTGTGCTTACTGTATGCTCTAGCTATGATATCAGAAACTAAAGACTAAATTTCTTTTCTAGTGGCCTTGTTTTTCATTCTCTATTGTCTTTGGTTTCCCTGGAGGCTCCTTCATTTATAGGTTTGAGACTTACAGTTCTTTCAGCTGTATTCTCTTATTATTATTCAGGATCCTTATTAATGTGACCTTAAGGGATTGAGAAAGGGGAAGCTTTCTGTAATCTTATGATCAGATCTCAATCTTTTAGTGAGTTTGTGCCCCTGGGTTGTGACCTTCACAGGTGTTTCTCACCCCCACTCTCCCTTTAGGTGAAAGAGGTAAGCTAGAGGTGCTGGATCTGTGTATTACGTTTACCCAACCTTAAAGACTAGAGGGCACTGGAGATGGTAATTACTTTCCCCAGGTCAGCTGGCCTTAGTAAAATAGTTTCTTTTAAGGGTAGATCATTGTTAATGAGAATAGCATGCTTTAAGTGTATTTCAAAATAGTTAGTTCCCCCTGACTCCTGCTAGAAGCAGCAGGTAATTTATCTTTGATCTTCACAGTGAGAACCTTGTGGAATTTTTCGAGGTGAAACTCACGAAAGTTGTGGGGGGCCCTGGAGTTTTTAACTTTCAAGCTAGTCTACATTGAGCCTCTAAAATTTATCAGTTACAGTTTAATACTGGCTCCGTGGGTGGGCTTCTACTCCTGGTCTTCTGCTGCCAGTAATCTGTGGTTCTCTGTATTCACCTATCCAGTTTTCTCAGCAGCAGTTTGCCCTCTGACCTCAATTCTCTAAGAATTGTTGATTTTTAGTTTGTGCAGATTCTTTCTTATTGTGAGGATGGAGTGCAACTTCTAAGCTCTTTAGATGCCAGACAAGAAATCAGAAGTCCTTCTCTACCTTTTTATGTATACTTGTTCCTAATGCTTTATGTCCACCAGAAAGCCAGATAACATTTACTGCACAAGGCGAGCTATGTCTGATGCATGATATCACAATGTGACTTGTTCATATTCGTATTTTATTCAAAACACAATATAACCCTGGAAAACCTACAAACAAAACTGGAAACACTTGCGATTTATGGAATTTGGAGTGGCATGTGAGATTCTTTGTGTGTGAACACTTTTGAGAGCTCACAGAGGCAGATGTTTCTACTCTAATCGTCACACTCATGTTCCCATCAGCAGCGTGCCTCCACAGCTCTTTCCTGTGGGTCTGAAATGTGGAGATAAATCTCTCTGAGAAATTAAATTCCCATAGCTCTTCAAAGCCACTTTTTAAACTTGCTAGCACTATGACTTAGAAATTCTCTTCCAAAATTAAGTCAATAGGGAAAGGAAACAAAATAAGAGTTTGAGGGAAAAAAAATTGCGTTGGGATAGGATTAAACTATGTCACTTTTATAACTGACACTGGGACCTCATCTGGGTCTTTTGGAATATTTGAAGACTTTGCATTTGGGTCGTTTAGCTTTCTAGCTCCTATCATTTTGCTAGTTGTCAAGGATATTTCTTCATTTCTGTATTTACAGAGTAAAAATCTGAACACTTGAATTTTCTTGGGTGCCCATGGAACAGCCTTTCTCTTGAGATTCAGTGCCTACCTTCTGCCTTGAACTGCAGCTAAAGGTGAGCTTATTCCATACAGTGATCTTACTGCACATTTAGTATCCAATGTCTCATTGATTTTGGAGTGACCTAGCAAAACATACCCTGCTGGACTGGGAAATATCTTAAGTAGGCAGAGAAATCACAGAAACTGCAAACATTTCTTGAAATTACTTCAAATCTGCTTAACTTGGGTCCTCAATGGGATTTTGAAGATCCAGAGAAATCAGAATTTTCCCAGCCAGTTGATGTTTTGTGATGTTCTCAGCATTTATAATGGCTTGCAAGAACTGTGATTCCATGCAATGAGAGGGAAAGAATGTCAACCAACTAACTACCCAGTAGTTCAGGGAAAAACTATGATCAAGTCATTCAGAAAGGCAAGGCAGGGTCATATGGAAATATAAAATTCAATCACCTTGATGTGTACCTAGGTTCCTTTTGTTTCCACAAACTTCTCATATGAAGTAGTGGATATGAGGCAAAAAAAGCCTCATTCAATTAGTTCAGTTAGTTTAAAACATAATAAGAATGAAAACGAATTTTTGTTGAATGCATCCTACATGCCAGACACTGTGCTAAACGTTTAATTTAAATTACTTAATTCCATTCTTATGACAATCTTATGAGGGGAGTGCTATTGTATCCTAGTTTTACAGAGAAGGAAACTGAGGCTTAGAGACATTGAGTCCAAGTCCACGAACTTCCAGCCAGAAAGTGACAAAGCTAAGCTTTGAACCCAAGCAGTGTAGCTCTAGGGTTTTAACCTTTACCACTGTACTATATCAAGAGGTAGGGCCAGTCATTCATTCTCAGGCAGTCACCTACATGGCTGCCATTTTGAGAAGCGTCAAAAAGTTCATCTGCCTACATATATCTTCTCAGTCACTACCTAGTCACTCTAATGTGGTAAGCACTGCCTTTATTTGTAAAGCAAACTTTCTTCGGAGCTGAGGGTGGAGGTGGGAATAACTTACTAAACATCTTACTTCTGAACACCTTAAGTATTTGTTATGGAGACGTCAACCTCTCATGATTGACTGCTTTCATTGGTGAGGGAGCTGCAAATCCAAAGTCAAAATTTTAAGATTGAGTGTTTTGCTCATGTTCTCACCATAGCCTTGAAACCCTCTAGCTGTGTAGACCTCAGGCAACTTTCTTAACCTTTTTGTGCTTATATTTTCTCATGTATAAAATGGAGATAATGATAGAAGCTACTACTTAAGGTTATTGTGATAATTAATTGATACAATATTTGAAAGGTACTTACTCAATTGTCTAATATACAGGAAGCCTTCACTACATGCTATCTATTATTATTACCCTTACACCAATGAGATGAACAGAAGGTCAAGTCTCCTTTTCATGTGACACATTCTTGCTAAAGTTCACTTACAGAATGACAACCGTAAGTCAACTTAATCTTCCCTCCTTGAGGACTCATAAAGTATCTGATAATCCTTCTCAACCTAGAGTTGACTGTGTCTTGATTCACTGGTACATGATCCTAAGCCATTGCTTTTATTTTCTCCATAAATTGGGTTTGAGAAGAGGAGGGTATTATTATTGGTATTTTCAACAGCTACAAAGACAAAGAACTCTCTAAACATAGGAAGCACAGAAATTGGAAACATAAAGTTTCTTATAGATTTCTAAGAACACATCTTATTGCTTTGCCATTTTCATGCCTCTGGGCCTTTGCACCGTCTATTTCCTCTGCTTTAAAGTCTTTCGTCCTTTGGCCATTCTACTCCAGCCCCTGCTCATCTGCCTGTTAAGCTCCAAGTCATTTCTACTCGACTTTTATCTTTATTTCTTTTCTTGCTTATTTGATCCAGCAGCTGAAAGCTCCTCCCATATTGGGAAATATGCCATTTTGTGACTTTTGGTGAGCCTCTCTGTCTAGAGAGACAAAACTCTGGCAGTGTGAGTTCAGGCATGTTATCTAAGATGCTCCTTCCTGAAACTATGAGCCTGGAAAAAAATGATGCAAAATATTAGAGGACTGTTTAGAACACATTCTGCTGGCAGCTGCTTGATATTCAGAGTCCCATAGTGGGACTATGTAATTATCAGACAAAATAGATTTTAAGGTAAAAATCAACCTTGTGGTAAAAAGTGGTAAAAAGTGTCAGGGCTGCCCAGTGATGTATCAGTTAAGTTCACATGCTCTGCTTCAGTGGCCCAGGGTTCACCAGTTCGGATCCTGGGTGTGGACCTACGCACCACTTATCAAGCCATGCTGTGCAGGAGTCCCACGTGTAAAATATAGGAAGATTGGCACAGATGTTAGCTCAGGGCCAATCTTCCTTAGAAAAAGAGGAGGATTTGCGGCAGATGTTAGCTCAGGGCTAATCTTCCTCAAAAAAAAAAAAAACAATTACCACAAACTTGCTAGATTAAGACAACCTAAAGACATTTGTTCACATTCCCTCCAAAGGCTCCAGGGGAGAATTCCCCCTTGCCTCTCCAGCTTCTAGTGGCTCCAGATGTTGCTTGTCTTGGGGCTGCATCACGCTAACCTCCCCCTCTGTCTTCACATGGCCACCTCTCCTACATGTCTCTGTGTGTCCTCTTCCTCCGAAAAAGTTTAAAAAGGGTCATTTATACTGACAAAAGATGCAATTCGCCAAGAAGAATAAAGCAATTAGACATGCAACTAATAAATATGCTCAATAATATATAAAGGAAAAATTGGCAGTAATATAAAGAGAAACTGATAAGTCCAGCTTAGTGAGACATTTTAACATGTGTCTCAGTTAAATCAGAACGAGCCTCAAACTAAAGAAAATATAAAGAATTGACCATTTAGCAATTACAGAGTACATTCTTCAAGAACACACGTGAAAAGTTACAAAAATTTATTTTGTCTAATTGATCAGATACTAGCAAACCTAGCAAATTTAAAAAATAAGGATAGACAAGTCCTATCTTCATATTACCTCCCTTGTAATTACTTTCCAATATCTTTTCTTATCTCTGGCATCTAATTATCACAAAATCATGCCTTTAAATCAGAATCTCCTTACTGTCAATTTACTTCAGAGATATAATAGGTTTAATTATAGGGTATTTAGCAAGATAAAAACACCTCAGCCTTCACTCAGCATGTTGATCTTAAATACTGAAATAGGATTATCTTCATAGAACTCAGAGGCCACAGTACTAATCACTTAAATCTCTACTTGGTGCAGGATCTTAGCATTTCCCTCTAAGGAGACAGGAGTCAAAGTAAATGGAATCTTTACAGAATGTTCCAAATTACCATAGAGTATTTTATCTTAAAACCAGGGTGAGCCTAATTATTACAATAATGTTAGTAATAGCATCAACTACTAATTATATGACAACTTAAGCACTTACTGGGTGCCTGATGTTTTGCAAATGATAATAATAATTAATATTTATGTAGCCCTTACTAAGTCCCTGACAATATTCCACATGCTTTCTATGCATTATTTTATTTAATCCTGCAAAACCTTATGAAGTCTATATTATGGTTTTTCCCATTTTTGCAGAAGAGGAACTGGAAACTCAGAAAATTAAAGAAATTTGCCCAAGATTACAAAGCTAAGAAGTAACATCACAGAGATTTAAACTCAGATCTCCAAATCCAGAGTCCAAGCTGTTAACCCTTACCGTCATACACTCCTTCCCCACATGATCTCATCTTATTTACTCCTTGTTGTCTTCTTACTAACCTCACGTTACAGGTAAGATGAGTGAGGCCCAGGGAGGGCAAATAACTCTCCCAAGATCACAGAGCTAGGAGTTGTCAGGACAGTCTTTGGAAGTCCAGTTTGTCTGATTCCCAAGCCTGTGCTCTGATCCCTCTGCACATCTGCTTACAGTACAGCCTCAGTGTAAACGTCCCCACTCTCTCTAGAAAGGAAAACATGTGCCATCAAAACCCTGGGCCAGCGCTCCTGCTTTACTCTCCCGCCACAATAGAAGACTTCTGTCTCAGCCCCAATTTCGGCTAACAGTTGGTTAGTTGAAAAAGTCTTTTGAAGAAAGAATCATAAATCGTGAGTCAGACGTATCTCAAATGTTTTATCTTATCTTATGGCATATAAAATTGCAATTATTTGCCAATTTTTTTATACAGGGCCAAGACCTTTTCTCTGAATATGAATATGCTAGTTGAAACTCCTTTCATTCTTATCTTTCTTGCATAAACCATGCCCTTAATGTACCTGCCAAAAACTTCAAGGTTAAAGTGAAATCAGAATTTAAAGATGTTTATGAAGCAATCTAAGTGCAAAATCTCATTCAATTTTGACAAATGTTTGCAAGACATTTATAGTTGTCTGGCATATATATGTTCTATATAATACATATATAATGCAAATATATATTTATCTGTAAATATAGATAGTGATATATATAAGTATGTATTTATAGTATATAATATATAATAAATAACATCTATATGTTAGTGATTTGTCCTTATCAAGTTTGTCCAAGCGTTTAACTTTTACAGGAAAAAACTTTTACATTTCCTTTTGCACACACATTTGTTGGTTTTAGTTTATAAAATACAAAGTTACATTAAGAAATTAGGGTAACAGGTACAATAGGTATTAATAGGAAGGAGCAAGTAAAACTGACTCCTGGCAAGCACACGTCTCAGCTGATGGGGGCAGAGGTGTCCAGCCCTGCAGAAGAGCCCACAAGCTGTAGGAGATCTGCCTTCTCTGGGCATTAGTCAGGATGCTTTACAACGAGATCAGGTTAATTCTGTGCGGGATTTAAGTGGATGTTGCTTATGAGGGCTTGTACTATCTATCTTCTTGAAAAGGAAATTAGGATTTCTTCTGATATGAACTTTCCTCCAATTTCCTTGGGTTAAACCCTTCATAATTCTGTAATGTGCTATCCTTTAAAGGAATCAGAAGTTTCAAATATTAGAAACAGTGTTGTAAGAGAAACACCCGCGGGTGACAGTAGCCCCAGACCAATGTTCACCACTGCTAGTCACGGTATTTAAGCAGCCTCACCCATCTGAAACTAGCACATTT